CACCAGGCCCCGCGCGCGCTCCTCGCGCAGGCGCCGCGGCGGCGGCGGGGACGTCGACGTTGAGCCCGATGACCCGCGTGATGATCCCGATGACCTTGATGTTGAGCCCGATGACGTCGACGTTGAGCCCGATGACATCGGCGTTGACCCCGATGACGTTGACGTTGACCTTGCTGACCCTCCTGATGATCCTAATGACCTTGACGTTGACTCCGATGACACTGACGTTGACCCCAATGACATTGACGTTGAGCCCGATGACCCTCCTGATGATCCTGATGACCTTGACGTTGAGCCCGATGACGTTGACGTTGACCTTGTTGACCCTCCTGATGATCCCGATGACATTGATGTTGAGCCCGTTGACCCTCCTGATGATCCTGATGACCTTGACGTTGAGCCTAATGACGTCAACGTTGAGCCCAATGACCCTCCTGATGAGCCCGATGACCTTGACGTTGAGCCCGATGACGTTGACGTTGACCTTGTTGACCCTCCTGATGATCCCGATGACCTTGATGTTGACCCCGTTGACCCTCCTGATGATCCTGATGACGTTGCCGTTGACCCCGATGCTGCTGCTGTTGACCCTGATGACCTTGACGTTGACCCCGTTGACCCTCTTGATGATCCCGATGACGTTGCCGTTGACCCCAGTGACGTTGCTGTTGACCCCAATGACCTTGACGCTGACCCTGTTGGCCCTCCTGATGATCCCAATGATGTTGTCATTGACCCCAATGACCCTCCTGATGATCCTGATGGCGGTGCCATTGTCCCTGATGACATCGATGTTGACGCCGATGACACTGATGTTGACTCTATTAATCCTGCTGATGATCCCGATGACGTTGCCGTTGACACCAACGACGTTGCTGTTGACCCTGCTGACCCTCCTGACGATCCCAATGATGTTGCTGTTGATCCTAATGACCCAGGGGACATCGGTGTTGACCCCAATGACGTCGATATTGACCCTTCTGACCCTCTTGATGGTCCCGATGACGTTGCTGTTGACCCCCATGACGTTGCCGTTGATCCTGATGATGTCGCCATTGACCCTTCTGACTCTCCTGATGATCCCGATGACGTTGCCGTTGACCCCAATGACGTTGCTGTTGACCCTTCCGACCCTCCTGATGATCCCGACGACGTCGCCATTGACCCCGATGACATTGAGGTTGACCCCATTGACCCTTCTGATGACCCTGACGTCACTGTTGATCCTGATGACGTTGAGGTTGATGCCATTGACCCTTCTGATGATCGCGATGATGTTGATGTTGACCCTGATGTTGCCATTGACCCCGGTGCCATTGAGGTTGACCCCACTGACCCTTCCGACGACCCCGACGATGTCGCCGTTGACCCCGATGACATTGGGGTTGACCCCATTGACCCTTCCGACCCTCCTGATGACCCCGATGACATTGAGGTTGACCCCGATGACCCTTCCGACGACCCCAACGATATCACCGTTGACCCCGATGACATTGAGGTTGACCCCATTGACCCTTCTGATGACCCTGACGTCACTGTTGATCCTGATGACGTTGAGGTTGATGCCATTGACCCTTCTGATGATCGCGATGATGTTGATGTTGACCCTGATGTTGCCATTGACCCCGGTGCCATTGAGGTTGACCCCACTGACCCTTCCGACGACCCCGACGATGTCGCCGTTGACCCCGATGACATTGGGGTTGACCCCATTGACCCTTCCGACCCTCCTGATGACCCCGATGACATTGAGGTTGACCCCATTGACCCTTCCGCCCCTCCTGATGACCCCGATGACATTGAGGTCGACCCCATTGACCCTTCCGATGACCCCAACGATATCACCGTTGACCCCGATGACATTGAGGTTGACCCCATTGACCCTTCTGATGACCCCAACGATATCACCGTTGACCCCGATGACATTGAGGTTGACCCCATTGACCCTTCTGATGACCCTGACGTCACTGTTGATCCTGATGACGTTGAGGTTGATGCCATTGACCCTTCTGATGATCGCGATGATGTTGATGTTGACCCTGATGTTGCCATTGACCCCGGTGCCATTGAGGTTGACCCCACTGACCCTTCCGACGACCCCGACGATGTCGCCGTTGACCCCGATGACATTGGGGTTGACCCCATTGACCCTTCCGACCCTCCTGATGACCCCGATGACATTGAGGTTGACCCCATTGACCCTTCCGATGACCCCAACGATGTCACCGTTGACCCCGATGACATTGAGGTTGACCCCATTGACCCTTCCGACCCTCCTGATGACCCCGATGACATTGAGGTCGACCCCATTGACCCTTCCGATGACCCCAACGATATCACCGTTGACCCCGATGACATTGAGGTTGACCCCATTGACCCTTCCGACCCTCCTGATGACCCCGATGACATTGAGGTCGACCCCATTGACCCTTCCGATGACCCCAACGATATCACCGTTGACCCCGATGACATTGAGGTTGACCCCATTGACCCTTCCGACCCTCCTGATGACCCCGATGACATTGAGGTCGACCCCATTGACCCTTCCGGGGGGGGGGACGGGGACCCCAGGAGGGGACAGGGACCCCGGGAGGTGACAAGGACCCTGGGGGGTGACAAGGGACCCCAACGGGGTGACAAGGGACCATGAGGAGGGGACAAGGGACCACGGAAAGAGGGGACGGGGACCCCAGGAGGTGACAGGGACCCCGAGGGGGAACAAGGGACTCTGAGGAGGTGTCAAGGGACCACGGGGGCATGTCAAGGACCCCAGGAGGTGACAAAGGACCCCCAGGAGGTGACAGGGACCGTGAGGAGGGGATAAGGGACCACGGAGGGGGGGGACAGGGATCCCAGGAGGTGACAAGGGACCCCAAAGGGGAACAAGGGACCCCCAGGAGGTGACAGGGACCCCAAGGCAGAACAAGGGACCATAGTGGGGGGACAGGGACCCCCAGGAGGGAACAAGGGACCCTGAGGGGGTGACGAGGGACTGTGACAGGGGAGAGGGACCCCAGGAGGTGACAAGGGACCATGAGGAGGGGACCAAGGACCACACAGGCGGGGGACAGGGACCCCAGGAGGTGACAGGGACCCTGGGAGGTGACAAGGGACCCCAAGGGGGTGTCAAGGGATCCCCAGGAGGGGACAGGGACCCTGCGGAGGGGACAAG